CATTTAGAAGTCGACTAAGTCGACCTCTGTGTTACACCAAGTCGACTCGAGTTTACTCAAGTTTTTTAACACCCCTAACTGGCAGTGGCTTAGCGATGCTGATTGTTAAGTCCGGAGCACAAGTGTAACTAAATGAACCAATCACATATATCACGTATTGACTATATCAGATATATGGTCGCTCCGGACTAACATGTTACTATTCGGAACCTCCTTCACACGCATTCTCTACTGGCGTATGGCCATTATTTCCTACGTTAGATGTTTGGTACTAGTCTGCAGAATTTCCTTGAGCATGCGTGTTCAAGGCATTACCCTGTATGCTAGTGTCCAGGTTTGCGTTGTATATACCTACTGGCATACGGCCATTACTTCCTGTGTCAGATGTTTGGAAGCATTCTGTAGGATTTCCTTTTGCATGCGTGCTTAAGGCATTACTCTGCATGATGTTTTCCAGTATATTGTGACTGAAATCCCAACCTTTACAAAAAATCAATGAAAAATGAAAGATTTTTGATGCATACAATGTGTACAAAACTTTATTAATAATTTCAGATTAGTAGCAAATTGGGAAAATGATAGAGGATTGCAAGAGAAACATATGATGCTATCAAAGAGGGAGGGAGTTCTCGGATCCTAGGCCATAAATGAGAGTCCCAGCATCAATTTTATTTCACACTACTGTTATTACTACTATTACTACTGCTACTATCAGAAAAACTAACTACTTTTTTATTTCCTTCCTTTTCAACCCATTCGATAATTTTATCTATAGAAGTTTTTCTTGGCGATTTTTGATGTCGATAAAAATTAGCTAATGTGCTAGCACTAAGACCAATTTAGATCGATAAAATATTGTATAATTGTGTTGGAGAACGACCTTCTTTTTTCCTCCTATTATTAAAAAGAGCCGTAAATTCGACCCAATAAGTTTCATATTCATCCGTATATTCGGAATAATATCCCATGGAAACGTGACTTGTGGAAGAGAATCGATTAGATCCTGCTAGAAAAAATATGGCGCAGATAAGTATATATGCATGTCGTGTGTATTTTAATACGTTTAAGACTATAACCTACCTTGAGATGCTGTTTCGTTTCTCCATTCAGCTTCTGTACGCATTCTTTGAAGCTCATTACTTAATGCTAAGATAGTTTTTTCGAGATTATTATCTCCCGATCCCTTTAGATATTTACGAAAAAAGATGATAGCAACGACAAAGATTATATAAATGGTTATGTTTCCCGAAAAAATGCCCTAGATCATATCCATTGTTAGGACACCACGGGTTAGCATTTCGAAAATAGCAATTGCGACGCTGAATACTACAATCAAGAAAATATCAGAGTTTGAAAACATTTTTTAGGTAGATTTTTGTTTTATTAACTTTATGTGAAATTGTTATTTTATTTTTTCACTTGTAGGAGAATAGGAAAGTCTTAGCAAAAGAAAATGAAAAGCGATTTGCAACATTGGAGCAGAATCAAAACGATGCAGTGGATAAGTTAAAAAATGGCGATAATTTTCCATTTTCTAATGGAAATAATATATCCGACCCTGTTATAAACCATTGCATTGATGCTAACTTCAAATCGTTAGAGGGTAATATAGAAAATATTACATCTGTAGCTCACAGTGCACATCGATATATATATTTTTTTAAAAATAAAAAATGGCAGTGCCATTGACCCCTTTCTTTATTTCATAAAAATGTTGCCCAAACGAACAACAATATACATATATGAACTATTTATTAATTTTGATTTAGCCTTTCTTGTCATTGTCCAGGATTCTCATACCCATTGAAATCATTTTCCTCA